AGTGCTGAAGAACCTGAATATTTCCCTTGATCCTTGTTAGTTCTTTTGTAATACTAAGTTTAAATCTAACGGAGTAAGTGTACTAGTCAGTTTCTTTTTCATGTAAATCTAACATAGCAATCTCAGCGCTGTGTTAGGTAAACTACACTTTTCTGATATAATCTTGATGTATTTGGTTGAATATATATCTGTCAACTAAAACTTCTGTATAAGAATATGAAAAATGAATGAATTATAGAGTGCTCTAAGCGGTTACAAAACTTAGTTGCCATTTCCAGCATTCTCCTCGCATTTTAGGGTCACATCTGTTTGTCTTTTACAAGAAGGATGAGCTTGTTTGGGCTAAAAGAAATGGATTAATAGTTTATTTGGTTTGAAAAAAGAGAAGGAAAAATAATTATAACCACTTAAATAATTTTGTTAGCTCAACAACTTAATGTAATAAGTGGAAATAAGAACCTTTCTCCCACCCTTTACCACCATTTTCCTCAAACCGAACAATCTATAAAGGAAAATAAAATAATAGTAAGATAAAAGAAATTGGGGAGTGAAGGGTTTTTATTTTTGATAAAAAGATAAATTGGAGGGGAGGGAATAAATTCTAAGATCCATTCAATTTCTTTAAAATTCATTCAATTGCTTAACAACTTACAATAACGCCCTCGAAGCAAAAAAAAACAAACAACAATTCAAACCTCCTACTGTCATGCATCCAGCCTTGAATTAATTTTCATTTAGTCATATTAGATAACTTAGTCATTTTCAACTGGAATAGCAATATACCTAATAATATCATTTAGTCATTTTCTTGGACTCAAATATTAGCTAGAGTTCAGCATGAAATTTGAAAACAATGGTGAAAACCTCATCATGAAGTCAGCTTTGGCACATTTTACACTAGAAAACTAATAGCATATTAACTTAACACAAATTCAACAAGCTAAAAAATCATCAGAAACCAAAATTAATGATGCATTGTTAAATGTTAAACAAGTATGGAATGGCTAATTCTCAGGTTGAGCACTAAAATGTTTAAGTCAACTCACTTAACTAAAAGAAACCAAATACAAACTGGGGTTACTATTATTTTGAGTTCAACTTGATGAGAGAAGCATGG